ATCAATAGAGATAAATAAGATTTCGGGTATTTCGTTCCACGTGAAAATGGCGACAAAGTGCAATGTGACAAGACATGAATAAACAAGTCGCCAGAAAATATTAGTCATTTCAATCGCGACATATATTATTTTATGAAACATCTTCAATCTCGCGATCGGAACATCGAATAATTCGCATTGTTCGCACTCGACTATTTCGTTCTATTTGCTTTTTAATTAATTCATTTTGCGCATCCTTTAACTTCTGCTATCGTATTATCCGGTTACCATTTCTTCGTGTCTCAAACTCGCGCCGACATCTCGACGTTGTCGGTTTTGCGGGACATTCTCAGGATCTCAGGCTCTTCCCTTACGGAGCCACGACACTCGCGTCCTGCCTATTTCTCTCGTGTGCGGCAAGGATGGCGGCGCGCCTAATCATCCTCGAGAAATTCAATTTCGACGACGCCGATGGCCGGCCTAACTCCAAAGACGCATCGGAATCCAGGCCAAAGACCTAACCTACCGCAGCCCTCTCGCACGTACTTTGCTTCGACCGAAACTGCGAGGCCACGGCGATCGATATACTCGCGTTCCGAGAAGCTCTCCCTCTTCGCGACTTCAAGAATCTCAAAACTTTCATCGACATCGATTTTCTACGATCGCGATAACGTGTCAGCCAGTCGTCACGATTTTAATCCGAGTATACGACACCTAGGTGCACCTGAAAATTAACCGCATTTCCTTATAACTGCTCGTTGCAATCAAATGTATCATACTTGCGAAAAAACATCGATTTTTGGTATCGAGAATAATATCTGGAAAAAATTATACTCGCGGTTATACGCAAAATTATACGCAATTTATTCGCAAATCATAAATTCTTAATTTCTCAACAAATGTTTTCTTGTCATCACATTTGAAGGCTTGCAACGGAAACAAAGTTAATTGTAAACAAGATTTAATAATACAGATTTAATATAACAAGATAATTTTCAAATAAATAATGTTTTTCATAAACAACTGTTTATATTTTCAATCAACTATAGTATATGTTTTTCTATGAAATATTCTTTCCTTTGAATACAAGTAATTTATTCCGTTGTGTATATTATATTTTAAATTACGCACGAACGATTATAATCGGAAGATTTGCATGAAAATATTATTGTACATGATTCATTTAATTAGATTAAAAATATCGTAAATTCTATAGTGGACCATAATTAGGAAATTACGTGTGTAAAATCAGGCCGGAAATCTAAGAATCAATTTCATTTTTTATTTTGTGTGGCCTTAACCTCAAGTTTTCATATATCTTAAAATAATTCCGACTAATAGTGTAAACGTAGAAATGTTTAAATCGCCCTTTATCCGCAGAGCGATATCGCGAAATAATATTCCTCAATCGATTACGAACTATATATATCTAACAGGACAATACGATATGACATTTGAAAATGTCAAATCGATGACGAAGACAATTTCGTAACAATTTCGTCACGACAGATATAAGTTAACGCGTGCTTGTACAGTGTATGCGCAAATTAGACCCTTCGCGTAAGGCGCGAACTCGGCCAGCTTGTTTAGGCATTAACTGTGGCGAGGTATACAAAACGTCTTTTGCATTTTCAATGAAGTCGTCAGGTGCAATCGCCCCCCGGCCGCGAGTGAAAACAACGACAGCGGGACAAATTATTCTAACGCACGCCATGTATGTGCGCATAGACAGATTAAAGACACGCGTTACAGTCGGGAAAATTGCGAGGACTACGATGTACGCAATCAATGTACGTACTACGTACGGTATGCGGTCGAATTACACATCTAACGAAACGGCCGAAAATTTAATGCGGCAATATTTATCTTTTTGTCACTCTCTCTCTCTCTCTCCCTCTCTGTCCCCCTGCGGCCGCGCAAACTCTCTCGTTACCGAAATACAACATTTATTCACCGTGCGGGATTGCGGCTAATTGCGAAATTAGTTTCGGATTTTCATACTGGTACTCTACCATCGTCCAGAGTTTGTTCCAACGACCCAAAAGCCCAATTCATGGCGAAATAAATTTATTCCGCCGCGGCGGGTACATATTCCGTTCATCTAATTTCTGTTCTCTCGCTGACGAATTCCATTAACCGCTTTGAAACATTTAGAACGACCGTTCTAGTTCTCTAGAGCAAGGATCCTGCGGACGGAAATTCGATACCCGTTGATTTCTATGGCCGATGGGGGAGCATTCCTCAAGTCCGATCGTGATCGGCTTCCGTGCCGCTGCGCTCTTAACCGACCAGCGGGACAGGCGGTTGCGCGACAGTAAATTCTTGCGTGGTTCGAGAATACGTAATTGGCCGACACACACGGAAGAGGACTGCTCAAGAAGAAGGAGAGAAAGATGGAGAGAGGAAAAGAGAGAACGTGGTAATATGGAAGGTGAACTCTCGCATACCGACAGGAGCTGCAACATGCTGGACCGTAGCAAATGTAGCCGTTAATTGCAATTTCAATTTACACGAAAGTCAGATGTACGGATACGCCGCATTTATGTAGGAGCGTGTAACCCGTTCCCCGCGCACGTGTGCGTTCCTGCTCAGGTATACGCGAAGATATACGCCACATACCTCTTAGATCTAATTCGCAGGGCGCGGTACCGCTATCTCTACCAAGCCACGACCTTTCTTCCGCGCGCCCGCACGCTTCATTTATCCCGTTTCCACCGCAATTGCGCGAGCGTTGCATTCGGCGCGATGTGCGCGATATTCCGCCCATGTAAGTGTTCATTAAGGCCGACGGTATTCTCTGGAAACGTTAACGCGACGAGCGACGACGGGAGATTTATACCGAGTCGGAAGGACGCTAGTTCCCGATGACGGTGTAGCTAGCATAGCCTAGTTGCCCGGTTGCGCGGTTTCCGCGCGCGTCCCGACGTGGTTTGACATGTATTAATTAACGGCCTATTTGGGTTACACGTTGATTCATAATTAATCTGTACCATGATAACGTGGCATTTAATATTCGCATACGTTGCCGCGGCGCAAACGCGCCGATGAAAAATCGCGAATCGCGTCGCGTCTCGTCGTGAAATCATCGAGCGGAAATCATCATCATTAATCCGCGTGTCGTCGGTCGCACGCTTTCTACCCTGTCGAACACGATGACGCGTTGTGCACGAACCGATCAATCAGCAATGTCGGCGATCACGCGCGTCCCTAGTTAATGCCATTCGCGTCGCTCTTTACGGGGTATCCCTGTATCGGGGATACACGTTATACTTTGAACCTCCCTTACCGTGATAAGTCCTGTAACAACAGCGCCTCGATGGCTAAGTACCACGTACGGCGAGGAGATACAAATTGAAAAATGTGAACTCGACTCTCGGACGCGGAGCTCGAGACCGCAGCTCCGAGAGCGCATCGCCTCGTAGAAGTAACAGCCACTTTTATTCCGGCTCTTCTTTACGCGTTCCGTTAGAACCCGGAGATATCAGAGGGAGAGAGGAGGAGAGGGAGGTAAAATAGGGCATTGTAAAATTCTTCGAACGATCGTTTCCACTGATTTAAAATACTACCGTTCTGTCACGAAGATCAATCTACTCTTTAGCGAATCCGGAGCACGACACAAAGCCGTGTCTCTCATTAACGATGCGCAAATTAAAATCCCTCTCTTTCTCTCACCGCGCCTTTTCCTCGATATTAATTTCGGAATATCTTAAAAAACAATACATGTCGAGAGGTTCGTGCTAAATGTTAATAAAAATTAAATATATGTGCGCGTCTATTATCTCCCTCTCATTTTTGCCGGGATTCAATTTCAGAGATAATGTAATCTTTTGTTATCGTACTCTCAGGTATATTTTTAAAAAATCGCCCATTCATAATATTTCGGGAAGAAAAACATTTAATATAGTACTTGTAGAAGGGAAAAATTTAATATAAATGTATGAAAGAAATTATTAAAAAAAAAAAAGATGATATTAATTTATTATTAGCAATGTGTAAATATAATAATAATACAAAGTTTCCGAATAATACCCGCAGATACATGACTGATTGATAGGACAGATTAATGATTGAATATAACAATATTATCTAGATATGCGCGCGCGATAATGTGACATAACGTTTATGAATATTATCCATGTCAGTTTGATAGAAGGGTGATATATCGATGTCATAGTTCATTATTTCAACAACTCGAATTAAACGTAAAAGGGGATGCGGGACGATTCTCGCCGGAGATTAAACACATCGCATAATATTCTTCTATTTATCGTCCAACTTGCGATATATATAGTCGCAAATTATCATTAAAACCGCACGTACGTTAAGAATTCAGACCATATATTTTTGCATATTTGCGCTAGCGCGAAAAGTCCATCGTGCACGTTAATTAACGTTTTCGCAATTTTCCCCGCTACGAGAGTTTTGCCCCGGTCAACCCGAAGCCTCGCACAATCGAACTTTTGTAACGAGGCTTTCCGTTTTGTACTAACATTGCTTTGTCGGTCGGTCAGCGCAATCTATTTTTTTTTTTATTTCCATTTGTTTGCAACTTCACCGCTACGTATTATTACTCGCATACACAATTTCAAATATGCACGGTGTTGATGCACTTCCCTTCGCTATGCAGCGAAAACGATCAATATAACATTTATAGCCTGTACAGCGACCCGAGTCAATGGCAGCGTTTCTCCCGCGCGACTATATTTACGAGCGGCGATCGAAAGGTTAAAGTAATTTCGATGTCATGTCTCGTACGCGGCGTTGAATAGACACTGTTTACCGGAAGTCTCTATAGCACCCCCCTCGACTTCTTGCGCAAAGTCGCTATTTTCTTTACATTCCAGAAACAAGTTATTTCCCATCTCGATACTTTTATTTCTCTCCACCGTCTCGCGTATTTTTATATTCCTACTTTTGAACAAAGACTGTAAGAAACGTAACTGTTTTCCGCGCGACGTTCGACAACAATGCGCACGACGAAATCTTCAAGATATTACAGCGCCGGATGTGCGTATACTCACCGTAAAGTCCCCCCGCTGTGGCAGCCTTGAAGACGACCCATATGAGATAAGCATAGATTATCCGACCTCGCTTCCACGCATCCATGATGCCCATAGCTTTTATCGGTGCCCCTTTCGGAACCACTTTGGACCCTAATCTAACTCGATCGACGTTGATTAGAACCGTTCACGCACCCTCGAGCCGCACACCTCTCCCTCCCGCCCTTCCAACTCTCGTTATCGTTTCAGGTTGCCTAAATGTGAGTGTCACCGTACCGACGAATCCGTACCGACTTCCGATAGTCGAGACCGATCCGAAACGGATATCCCACGCCGCACATATCTACCTCTGCCGAGATCTTCCTCTCTCTTTCTTCCCCTCTCTCTCTCTCTCTCTCTCTTTCTGCTTCTCGAGGATAGAATCCAGTCCGTTTAAACGGCAGGTCGGTCCACACAGAACGACGTAAACTTTACTGTACCGTGACAGGGTGCGATACCGCGTGTATACAGGAAGTTTCGTTACACTTGCGATCGGACGTGTAACGACAAGCGTCAGGGCACGAGACCACGCGGGCACGCGATCTCCACCACTCGTACATACGACGTGCGTGTATACGTATATGTATAATCTGCACACTGCTTGAGAGAGAGGAATGAGAATGAGCAGGCTCGCGTTATAACAAAACCCGACGAGGGAGGAGGAGTTACGAACAAGCGCGATACGACTAAGCCGACACTTTTCACATTCACTGTATTTGTATTTGTACGCGGCGTTTATTACACGCGTAAAAGTATGCGCACGATGATCCAATTTACTTTAATTGTCCGTAGAATCTTGGATTTTTATATAAATCGTTCTCCCCTCGATATTTTTCTCGATTTCTCTTATCGTTTCTTCGAGACTCGATATGGTCCTTTGATCGATTCACGAACGAGCCGAGCCCTCGATCGTCGAGGTACCATACACTGGTGCATGTACGGACGATAGCCGCGGTATTGCGCGGAATCCGTAACCTAATGTAACGTTTGGACGCGTGCCATTGACGTTGCTACCGCGACCGTTCGTGCGACGCATGATTGCTTCAATTATTATAAATGAATCGCGAGATGCGCGAGCGAGCGAGAGCGAGCGTTTCGTGCTCTTTCGGAATCCTCAAGCACGTCGTTCCGCCTCGCGTAATCGCGCGAAAGAATCAGCCCTCGGCGAGGCGAATTCCAACGAAGCGGAACTAACGGCCCAACTTTCGACGAACGTTTCGTTCAAAGGCATCGCTCATAGGTAGAATCTTGCGCGGTCCATTGCAATGCATTGCGAAAATCTTGGCGAACCAACACACTGCCAATTTTCCGGACAAGCTGCTGCGAAATCCCCCGAGTTCAATCAAACTCCAAGACCAAACACACGAAACTTGTCTCTCACCGAAAATTCGGGAAATTTGTGCAACCGGTGACGGTCCCTTCGGTCGAAATTCACGGCATTTTCTTCCAAGATGACGTTCCGTCCTCTCTGGTCCCTACTTAACTCGCAAAACTTACGGAGCCACGCAGATAATATCTTTTCGATGACTTAGTAGAGTCTCATTCTTCCGCTCGGTTCAAGACTGAGAAGTCAGCGAGCCGAATTCGTTCGTTGTGCGACGAATCTCTCGCGGAAATCTGTTGCAGGATCAACGCGAAAGCTTTTGATCCGACATCGACTTTCTTCTACATGACTGCCGAATCTCGATATTCCATCGCCTCGGAGCGCGGTCCGCGCTGCCTGGCCATTTTAAAAACTCTGCCAGAACCACCTTTCTCTCTTTCCGTGTGAGCCCAAGGTTTCTCGCTTCTTTGTGTGTCGATCTATAGCTCCGGCGAAACGTTTACGCATCGATCGTTCGCGCACCTGGGTACGTCCATCATCGTAATCGCACCGCGAGGAGAGATCGCTGACCGATCGCGCGAATAAATTGACCTCTCCGCGTTTCCTTCCTCGCGTTTTTTCGAAAACGAATGGTGCCACTAGGTTCGCAACGCGTCACATTCAACTAAATTCGATCGCGGGCGAGGAGTCTCGATATTTCATGATCGCGGCATTTTGAACACATGTGCGAAACGACGACGGGGCACTGTAAAAATAACGTTCAAACTAGTAGCCGATGCCGTGGGAGGTGGAACGCTCGCGAGTTCGAGCACAGATAAGAAAGTGAATACAGGACGGCGAGGAGTAAGAAGATGTAAAGAGAAAGAGAAGACGAAACGGGACGGGCGCGCAAGGCGGGAGACTGCGATACACATATCCAGGGCTGGTCGTCGAACCGGTTTTCTTCTGGAGATCGCAACCGGTCAATTGGAAATACCACTGACAACGAGTCCGGCCGTTTTACGATCTCGCCGATCGCCAACCACGGCCCCGAGATACGGATAAAACACGGCCACCGCGCTCGAATCGAGCCGGTGGATTCGATCCAACGATCGCGACAATCGCGAAAACCTGCGGCTAGTCTAGGAGCGGATATATTTTCACGAGAGAATCTCGAGGAACGAGCGCGCGATGTCGAAAACGAGAATGTTATAGATTCTTTCGCCGCTTTGAGTCGTTAGGGAGAAGTTTGTGAATTTTAATATATGATCAAAGTAAGGGTATCTTTCGCAAGTTACTTTGCTCTCTAATTTCAAAAGTCGAAATTGATGGGAAATATGCTTTCTATATTCAAGCGTAATTGCACGATGTAATTAGGAATGAGTAAGAAAAGACCCTCGGATGTATATCTCGGCGTAGTAGTCGAAAACTCATGTAAAATGTAAAGAATTTGACTTGTTTATACTTTGTTTTTCAGAATGTAACTATAATCGAATTCTGCTCGCGCGCTAGTCCAGGGAAACTGACACTCTCACTGTTGGCTGCGTGATTTTCGATTCGACGAGAAATCGATTCGTCGTGAAATTCTTGCACGGATTCCGTTCGTTTATTTATACTTTTTCTTATTCATTTTTTTTGTTTCTACTTTTCCGCATAAAATATGCACGCGCGCAAAAATATATCGCATAGTGTTTCAACCGCGATTAACAATAATGCCGAATAAGCAATAATATGTATATTATTGAAATCGCATACAACAGCAAGTCGTTGGATGATTAATAAATACGGCACGCAGAGAGAACAGTTAATAATTAACGACGCAGGTACAGGAAGGTAGCGAAAAAAAATCAATTACGTCCGCTGAATTTTTCCACCTTCTGGGATGCATTTCCATTCCGGTAAAATGTATTAATTGGCAGCGTGCAAACTTTCACGTAAATCGATACGAAAAATTGACCGTCGGCGAAAGCTCGAAACGTACATTTGAAATTATAATCGACGAAAATTATAATCGTATAGAGAGACTCGACAATTCCACTTTCTACGCAATTACGTGATAGAAAGAAATGATGCGGAGTATGCAACAAGAACGGTAATCCAACTAACTTTTAAGCGACACTCCACTCTTTTACTCCGAATGGGATCCAAGCAATTACGCTCCGAGGACTCCTTAATGAAAGGGGAAGCGAAAACGCACGGAAAAGTATTGAAATACACAAACGTCGATTATGCGATACAAGTATTTAAGTGGACTCGCACTCGACCTACATCGATCAAGATCGAGAGAGGAGTTTGATCCGCCTCGATTCGACCATCAATGAACGTACTCCCGAATGAAATTCGCTTCATCCTCGATCGTACCTTTATTCTCAGGTAGCCGTCGAGATGTCTCCAAATGTGAGAGGAAACGATAAAAACATCGACAAAATGAAAAATGCGTAATCCGTCACGACAAGCTACGTGTATCATTACTCCAAACGACAATCAGCGTAAACTTTTCACGCGAGAAAAGACGACACGGCTTCGACGTCCCGATTGTCACGGTGATGAGGAGCTTATCATGGCGTCATGTGTCTCCGATATTTTTGTCCGAAAATTATTCTTCCCCATCCCGGTCTCATCCCCGCGAAATCTCGATCCTCCTCCTCGCGATTGTCGTCGCACTGGACCCTAAACTGGGTCCCCCGTTCGCTGCTGCTCGACGGACGCGCGATCGGTATACACGGTAAATACACGGAGACACGGACGGCGTCGCGACGCTGCGCGTCCCGCAGAATCACGATCCGCACTGGTACGCCATCGAGCGTTAGAGAAACTTCAGCAACCCTCCGACCATCCCGGTCCCCCACTACTCTACAGCTCGGGCCGACCGGAGGAGCGTATACACGTGCGGCGAACGTGCCTGTGTGTCGGCGTACATGTGCCCGTATGTATAAGCGCGGCAGAAGACTCATACCAGCACCCGACATCATTCCGACCACGGTTCTCCAGCGGCGCACTTGGCGCGCGCGCGCGCGCACACGGTTGGTCGGGGGTGTACGATCGGGTGCGCGAGCGCACCGGGGGCTACCTCCCTTCCTCCGTTCGTCGCACCAACTACCACACGCGCATCGACACGCTCTCCGTCTTTCTCTCAAGCTCGACAACGCCGACCGTCCTTCTTCCGCGCGCCTTTTCCCTCTTCCCGATACTCCTTTTCCTCGGTTTTTTTTTTCATGCTCCTGGGAGGGAGGAAACT